CGACTCTGAAAACCCATCTTTTTAGACAGGCCTTTGGTATTTAGCTCGTCTTAATCTTAACTCGTTTTTAACTCGTTCCCTGTTGTTTTATGCTGTTTCTTATTCTGATAGGGATGTCTTTTATTTTGGAGTTTTTAATACTTTGTAGTTTGTTTTGTATAGGTTTTTGTTTTAGTATTGTCTTGTATTAGTGTCCTTTTGTGAAGCACTTTGGGCTCCTGCCGAGTTGTAAAGTGCTATATAAATAAACTTTTATTATTATTATTATAAAATCTGAATAGGTGGATAGGTGAGGACGTGACATGTCCTGTGTTCAGGTGTAGTATCACTTCGGTGTTTTCACTCCAGGCCAACATTAAAAAGAGTGGACAGTGTGTTAGCACAAACGCTCGCACAGAGAATCGAGTGAGTGATAGAGAGGTGGACCCTGGTAGCCGACTTTAGTGCAAGCAGTGATTTATTTATGTACATTGGAGTAGAGTGATAAACAACAAGCAGGTAAATGATAACTGAATTGGGGGGGAAACCGGGTGTCGACCAACAGCAGGAGTTCATGAGTGATAAGCAGGAGTGTGGTGGGCCGAGCTGCGTCGCGGGTCACTCCTGAGCTGGCCGATGAAGTGATGGTAGATGCTGGAAGACACACAGACAGAGAGGGGTTGATATGGGGGAAACTTGGTGACTGTGCATCGACCTGTCTGGGAAGGTGGAGTGGAGCCAAGGTCCGGAGGAAACAGGCAGTCCAAGCAGACAGAGATAACAAGAAAAAACAAACACTGGAATACCAAAGCAAAACAACAAACGAGTAAGTACTATGCAGAGAGACAAGGTGTAGGCTTAGAACGTGAACAAACTAGCAAGTGAGAGAGAGATGAGCTGGGTATAAATAAGGGCAGACTATGGAGTGCAAATGGTGCTAATCATGGGAGTGAGGAGCCGGTATCCTTACACAACTAGTACAAATAATATCTATATATGAACTACATACTGTCCTATTACATATTACCTCTGGAACCTTGTTTATTTTTAACCACTACAGTACACTGCTCACTTTTGGCTCCCCTGCCAATTCCCAAACCTAGTTAACGGGTCATCTCCAGATCAGGATGACCCAATGGGTTAAACAAGCAGGCCATGAACCCAAAATGTTCTTGCTTCAACAGACACAAACTATTTACACAGTGAGCTGACATAGTACAGAGGGCTTGCAGAAATTAGTTTTTAACTGATTACTGCATATAGTAACTACAGGTAATCTACACACTCTCACTGTACATATTGTATATTAACTGTAGCTTGTTTGTTGTAACCACTACACTACATCAACCCAGAGTTTTCAAGTAACAAGGAGGCATTTAACACAAACAATTCAACATCTAAAAATCTCTGTTTTTACGCAAAACTAGATCACAGGATGCTTTCAAAACAATCCTTTGAAAAGTTTTGTTTACCACTTTATCAATTTCATACAAAGCATGGGGGAAAACAATGACATCAAAAACTGAAGGAAAAAAAAAATCTTTATAATCAAAGGAGGATGATGCTACAACTGGATGTTAACATCAGTAATGTTTCCTGTTTACAGTGAACTTACTGGCACTGACATTTTTTCTCAGATGAGTTAAAAATGCTTTGTGATAAACTGAGCAGTGAGACTGTCAGGGCTGGACATATGGTGCTTTGGTTTCCTTTGGACCTGTGTGTGCACGTGGCTGCTCTGTGTAACAGCCAAACACGATAAAGGTTCAGCACAGCCTCAGTGTGGATTAGATCAGGGAGGAGGCTGCACATCTCTCTAAGGTCTCATGGTCCATGAACTGACACAGACGCTTTACTCGGTGATACTGTAAATTTTTGGACAGATCACAGGACTGTAGTCATAAATCACAAAGTGATGTTGACTCTAAAGATGTTGAAACAAGTTCATACATGTGTTGTGATTTATTTCCTGTTGATTTTAGGATTATCTCAGTGAATTGTGGGGAAGTTTGTCAGTTGTGTAAAAGAGCATGTAGGAATTAGATGTTGAGTGACTGCCGGTATTTACATAGGTGAGCATTTATAAATACCAAACATTCTTTAGTGTTTTTACTCCAATGCTCCTCAGGACATTGAACAATCCTGATGAGATTTTTCACACTTTACATGCATGAATACAGACACGTATCATATGTCTTGTTGAAATATTTAAAATTTTGGACATTTTTATGTCTCATCCCGTTTTCTTCCCATCTCCCATTTCTCCATTGCTGTGACTTGTCCTGTTGCAGCTGTGCTGCTGTGCAGATATGATGAGCAACAACAGCCTGATTCCCTCCTATTTTCAGTTCACTGTGTTTGCAGACTATGGGCCCCTCAGATATCTTTTCTTCAGTCTCTCTCTGTTGATCTATGTGACTATAATCTCTGCTAATCTTGTCATTGTTCTGTCAGTCTGCCTGGAGACCTCTCTGCATCAGCCCATGTATGTTTTCATCTGCTCTCTGTGTTTAAACTCTCTGTACGGCTCGACCGGCTTCTTCCCCAGGTTCCTGATGGACCTTCTGTCTGACACTCATTTCATCTCACATCCACTCTGTTTCATTGAGATGTACATTACCACCACATATGCATCACATGAAGTGACTCTCCTCACTGTCATGGCCTATGACAGGTTTGTTGCTATTTGCCAGCCTTTACACTATCACAGTAAAATGACATTTAGGACGGTGCTGCTGCTTTTGATTCTCGCTGTGCTGCACCCTGTATGGGTTTTGGGCTGCTTTTTCTATCTGATCAGCAGTTTGCCTTTGTGTGGAAACAAAATGTACAGGGTTTATTGTGCCAGCTTCTCTGTTGTGGAGCTCTCCTGTGTGGACACAACTGTGATCCGTATATTAAGTACGTTTCTTGCTGTGATAACAATCTTGATCCCCTTGATCTTTGTCCTGTACACCTACCTGCGCATTCTGCTTGTCTGCAGGAGAAGTTCATCTGAATTCAGAGGAAAGGCCTTACAGACCTGCCTGCCCCACATAGTGACCTTTGGGAACTACTGCATCTCTCTGTTCTGTGGACAGTATAAGATTGATGAGGGAAATACATTTGTCATCATTGTTTTATCTCTGGAATTTCTGCTCATTCCTCCCATCATTAACCCTCTGGTTTATGGCCTGAATCTGCCTCAGATCAGAGGAGTGATTTTTAGTTATGTGAAGATTCACTAAATAATTCCTGAAGAGGTCCAACATGCACAGATAACAGCTAATGAAGCTTTGCATCTCTATTAGTCACAGTGTTAGTTGAATATTTTAACCTGTGTGTGTCTATAGTCCAAATTAGTTTTCTTTTAAAATATATATGGATGAAGAAGATGGAGAAAACCTAACCAAATAACCTTGTACAGCAAGAAATGTAATACTCACATTAATGATCAACTATGCCCAAGCTGAAAAGGAATGTATAGACAATTTCTCAGCTCATAAACTCCATCTATCGTCTGTCCCACAGTCCATCTGAACTGGTAATTCTTGTCTGTGTGTCACATTTTTCTGATAATTTGTTTAAACTGCCATGGCTCTGCCTGTCTGAAGATAAATAGTAGTTGGGTTCTTAATTATTATTATGTTGTAAGAAATTCTCATTGAAACAGTGCTACTTATAAATGTTGGTAAGAGATTGTAAGGGGCTTGTTTATTTTTCATTTATAATCTGGTTTTATACGTCTTTAAATTACTGTCCGACAGTGCAATGTCAGGAACGTAATTAAAACTGTGATAGCTTTTAAACACAAGCAATGGTTCAGTGCTTCAAGGACTCAATCTGTGTCATGGTTCACTTAGTTCATGTTTCATCACTTTAGCTTCTGTGGTCAGCACTTTCTAACCTCTGTCAGTCTAATCCTGGCCCCTTGCACCACTGTGAGCCCTGCTTCCCACCAGATCAGTCACCTGACAGTCATTTACCTTCCCTTCTGCTCACCTTCACCTCGTCTAGTGATGGGAATAGTGGCTCTTTGAATGGAGTCCGATATTAGAGCTCTGTTCCTATGATAGAGCCATTCAAAAAAAACTCATCTATGGGGGTTAGTTTATTTCTTTACTCTGCAGTTAAAGGAAACATAATTGAGAGCAAAACATTGGTACTGAAATCAAAATAAGTTTCCTTGCAATCAAAGAAAGTTTGGGATGTCAAATATAAACTGACTAAAATCACAACTATTTTCATTTTCTGATTCTGTATTTCCATAAGTGGGGTAAAACTATGGAATAATTTAAGTGTGGACATAAAAAACAGTAAGAGAATTGATGAGTTTAAACATAAATATAAAGGTATGTGTCAATCAAGATATATGCAAGAACAGGTTTAACGATTAATCAGGTGTAACATTGTGGGTGTGGTGTATGAATGTTAACACTATGTAATATTGTAATATTTCTACTTGTGTGATGTAGAAGATAATTATCAAAGTATGTAATTATGTAAGAATGTTAACAGTCTGTAATATTTTTTAGTATATCACTAGCGTGGTGTAGAACAAAATTATCTATGTAGAAATACTGCTTGCAAACCAATGATGGTAAGATGATGTCATGGGGTAGGACTGGATAAGTCTAACTTCTTCCTACTCCGTTCAAGCATGTACTAGGTATAAGCAAATTGATAATGCATTTGTGGATATGTGTGAAATTATGTGTGTTGACATATTGACTGTCGTTACATGTTTGAAAGAATAAATCAAAAATTTTAAACAAAAACAAATTATATATATAAAGTGTTAAATTATATACTGTACTATTATATAACATTAAAACGACTTATAAACTCATATCAAATAAAGATACAGAATCAGAATCAGCTTTATTGGCCATGTCTGTTGGACACACAAGGAATTTGACTCTGGTACATCAGCTCTCAATGTGCATGTACATATCCCCATGCAAGGGGCAAGTAGACCGAAAAACAACATAAGGCTGAAACCCAGTGTAACAGATTGTTTAGTGTTACGTCTCCCCAGTGTGAATGTGCTGGTGCTTTGTTTATGTGTGTAGTATACCTTATGTCCTTTTGTCCTTTGGGGCTTGCCATTACTTGGCAAAAAGGGGACATGGGGAGAGAGAGATGGGAGTGCCAGTATTTGGAGTGAAGAGTGTGAATAAAGTAATGAAGAAGTTCAGACCTGAAGCTTTGTCGTTTTATTATTTTATACACATGTCTAGTTGAGCCTACGTAAATACTCGGCTACATTGGTGGCAGCGGTTTGTTTTTTGTTTGTTCGTAGCGACGTGGTTCAGTGTCTGTCGACTGTTTAATTAGTTAGCTAGTGTTCCAAGTTTAGTGTTAGCTCAGGTTAGTGCACGACCAACATGTATGTGGTGATGTGGTGCAAATCTGAGGAGGACCGAGGGGGAATTAACCAGCATGTGAAAATAGACTTACCGGCGTCGTTCTCTGGTGACGGGAGGCAGAGTTTTCTGCTCTGGGCCCGGCAGTTCGAAGTAGCGGTCGGAGCACTCTCGGAGATTGATGGTGCTGTGTCTTGCAACTATGAACTGGCGCAAATTCTGCCAACGCGTCTCAGCTACGTGGCATTTCGATTGTGGGACAGCTTTTCTCGCGCTGTTCAGGTGGACTATACCGCAACGAAAGACAGACTGAAGGAGGCATTTGGAGGGCAACAGCTCATGGATCGCTTCAGGGCTAACCTAGCGGCTCATCCTCAGGCCTCTGGGGAAAGTTTGGAAGTGTATGCAGCGGAGATCACCCGGCTGGTGAGCGAGGCTTTCCCGGAATATTGTAACAACGCCCTGAGAGAGGAAAAGTTTCATCAATTCGTTGCTGGTTTGAATCTGGCGCTCAGAGCTAAATGCAAGGAGCATGGAGCAACGGATTTGGAGGAAGCAGTGTTGATTGCTGGACGTTGTGAGAACGCTGGCTATACTGGGAGGTATGATTACATGACTGCTAGCGCTTCTGGGACTGCTGGTGTTGGAGCTGGATCTGCCATTTACTCGGTGGGTGACGATAGCGGATTGTATAAAGCTGTGGATCTGTTGGTTGCGGAAATGAAGGACATGCAAATGGAATTGAGAAGCTTGAGTGATGAGAACAACATGTTAAAAAGCAGAGGGAGTCCCAGAGCTATGGATGAGTGGGACGGCTGTCACTCCTGGGCGTGTCAGTGTACTTGTGGGGCTCGTGGATGCCAATCACACACCTTTGAATGTACTCAGAGGGGCCGCTCACCTGTGAGACAATCAGTCCTACACTCTGACAAGCGGGCTTCGGGTATGGATAGGCGCAGTCATAAGGACTCCTACACTTCTCTGTCCCCTGTGAGACGCAGCCCCAGCCCTGGTTCTTGCGGATGGAGTAACTGTGTGGATGATTCGAGGAAGAGGGGTGTACGTTTCATGTCACCTAGCAAGGAGGAGCGCCGCTTTCAGTGAGGAAACGGACTGTAGCTGATGTTGCAGTCCAAACACTAGCTGTTTCATCTCAGGACCCTCAGAATGTCAGTGCTGCAGAATCATCCAGCCTGATAGTGGCTCACACACTGGCTGGAATTCATAAGGGACTGACTAAAGCTCGGATTTTGAATCCTTCTGGACATGACATTTCACTGACCCGAGGGCTGCACCTGGGGGAGTTATACTCAGTGGACAAGTCTGATGTCCATTCATTCCATGCTCCAGCTGATGTGGCTGCGGTGTCTTCTACCACCCTCAGCGAGTTGGTGGTGCCGGTGCAAGTGTCTGCCTAATGCGGTCCAGGTTGCAAGTGACTTTGTTGGATA